GAGAGAGAGAGAGAGAGAGAGAGAGAGAGCGAAAGAGGAGGGGGGGGGCTAGACGGTTCGTACGTGTGTTGACGTGTTCGTGTCGGGCGCGAAATGATGCGATAAAATCTCTTCAAAATAAATATAGTATATACACCGCCCCCTCAAAAATGTGGACGCAGAACACGCGAGAAAACCAGTTAAGCATCCTGCTGACCTACTAGGGGAAGTGGGTAGATCTGTACGGACTTCTAGAATATCGAATTTCTATTACAGTATAAGTGCTCTTGATATTATCAACTCTCTGGTCTATTCCCAATGTCTATGTCTAGGTTTGGTATCGGTGGAAATCATAAGATAATATCTTTTTCATCTACCGCGCACGCGCATGTCTGTCTATATTGTGGTACCACTGAGGCTGTGTTTGCGGAGGTCAACCCCACGTTTCATTTAGGTCACGCACGATCCAACTCGCGCCGATAGCATTCTTAGTTTAGTGGCGATATCGTAGACCCGAAATTCTCTGAATAGAATCTCGAATAAATTCTTACGGCTTTCGGATGGCACACAAAGGTCAATCAGACGGCAGTCTGGTCAGCAACTGGGTCACGAAGTTAGTATGCGAAGTTCATTCCACACCGATATGAAAAAGGATCAAAGTAAAATCAAACAACTGCACCCCGGCGCTGGAATTTTGTGTTTACTCGGCTGCTGCCTCTTTCACAGCAACTCACACATCTTTCAGCTCGTTAGTTAATTCCAACTTAGGTCCTGAACTGGTTATGAAAATCTAACAACCAGACGATGACTTCATAGACACTGGCGCGTCACAAGCGCAATTAACAGATATCTGTGATTAACATTGTGTCGCCGCGTATGGCTTATTACCGCACTAGCAATGTCGAACACAGGCACTTGGAGTGTCTCAATCAAAAGAATAATGCTAAATAAACACGAAATGTATTTACTACCAAAGTTTTAATGTTTCTCTACTCTCTTTCGCCTATTATTGCTGATAATTTCCTGTAAATGCCGTTCAAATGCTCCTGTGCAACACACATGTACATCGCATTCACATAGCTGCCCATTTACACTTAGATAGATATATATATAGTGTATACACTTATATATGTAGTTACTATATAATAAGTGTAAATGCCTGTGATGTCAAAGGCATACTTAGTGATGTTTTAATGATAATTATTTCACGCTAAATCGCTGTCTAGCGCACTGGTAATCACAGCGAGTGTAACATATACCGGAAGTCATCCGTAACAACAACCGGACGCATTTTTCGAGAGCCACCGGTGTTTTCATTATAGATAAAGCGGTCGCGTGTCAGTACACACATCTAGCATGCGCCTACAAGATAAACAGCGAAATTGTCCGTTTATTATGGATACGTTAATTGCGATGTTTTAGAATAATTATCCAGGGTGTGCGATGTATACAACTCCATTTTACACAGTGGCAAATGGCGTTATGCCCTAACAGATATTTTATTCGCAGAACGGTTTGTTTTCTTGTAATACAACGAGCACTCGTTTATAACGTGTTTAAGAAGCAAGTGAAAAATTCTTGGTATGTGTGCTTCATTTAATAGTATTGATACCGCCACTCAACGTTTGCACTAACCGTGGCCTATAACAATAGGAGTAATGATCATAATTAACGGTAAATTAACCGTTGTTAAAGTTAGGGCCGCTACAGGCCTCTAATGAACTCTCTCTCTCTCTCTATCTACTGGGAACTTGCTACTTAAAAAGATAATAAAAATAAATGAGTTTAAACACGCACTCCTTTCGACTTTGTGATGCAGCCCATACTGCAATTGCTGCTACTACTGCTACTGCAGCCGCTATTACTACTACTACTACTAGTACTGCTGCTGCTGCTGCTGTTACTACTGTTGTTGCTGCTGGTGCTGATGATGATGATGATGATGATGATGATGACTATGATGATGATGATGATGATAATGATGGCGACAATGATGATGATGATGTTATTGTTGTTGTTGTTGTTGATGATGATGATCATCATCATCATCATCATCATCATCATCATCATCATGATCATCATGATAATCATGACGGTGATAATGATTGGTCTCTGTTTCAGGATGCTGCTGATATCACTTCTCGTTCTTGTGATATGCATCAACGCACAAGTAACCCCAGGAGGAAAACTGAGTGTCGCTATGCTGGATGACCCGTTGAATCCGAGAGCAATGAGTATACAAATCTCGAGTTATTCAATAATAACGAGCAAATCGTGTAGCTATAAGATCTAACAGAACCCATTCTTGTGCGTTAATCAACTTAATGGCAGTGAAGATACTGCCCAAACGATCAGCAAAACCGTCTGATCGCCCGATAGACTCAAACCTCAAAGACTATTATTTTCAGGTTCAATGTCAAAAATTAATTTACGTAGTTATCCGTTTTGCTTCGTTATGGTATGTCATGGATTTCATTCCGTCTGACAATGAGTATCATTGTGTATAAAAGCGTTTATGCTGTGTGACTTTAATTAATGTATTTGCTTAATGCGTTCTTAAGCGACCAAGGATCCTAATGTTAGGAGACAACTTGCGATCAATCCGCCAAATAAGAAGATATTGGCTCAGGCCCGTGTCATTAAGCAGATGCTGCGCGCCGCACGAGCCCTGAAGCAACGGTGAGTTCTCTCTCCTCTCTCTCTCTCTCTCTTTCTCTCTCTCTCTCTCTCTCTCTCTCTCTCTTTCTCTCTCTCTCTCTCTCTCTCTTT